GGGGTGGGGGGGTGGGAGAGTGGGAAGAGAGAGCAAGGGGGGGAGAGAGAGAGAGAGAGAATGTCAGATGGAAAAGTGCCATTGCAGCCATCGATCAATCAGGCTAGCTGCAGCCACACGGCAGCAGCACGGCGGCAGCAGCAGCAATTCACCAGCAAATGGGAATTTGCAGAAACGTGAAGCTCTTGTTATCTGAGAAATCACTAAACTCCAACAGTCCAACTCTGTTCTGCAGGGGTTTCTCATTGGAGAAGGGCATAACTGTATGCTAATATATGGAAACATACAGTGCTTCAAGTGGGGAAGGCATGAAAGGTGGAAGCCCCCTATCCAGAATATTTCTCAGCACCAAGAGCAACTTTCTTCACATAACTTTGGTCATGCTTACATGCCCTAGATGTGAGAAATCAGGCACTGGCTGGAGAAGAATACAGTATTTCAAATATTTATGTCCAGTTTATGGCTTGGAACCTAATGGGGAGATGGGTCAACTTATAGGCATCGATCAGGGAATACATATCATATTAGCCTGACATGAAACCTTGAACAAATAGACACAGAATTGCAATTCTGAAAAATTCTTCCTACTAGTTTGAAAGTCTCTTTTATTAAGGACTAGAGATCAGAGAAATAGTCTGTTCATGAAGCCTTAATGCATTCTTGCCAACAGTTTCTTTTGCTATCACTTTTTTTCTCTATGTCCTTTTCAATTGAGTTTATTCATTGTCTTAATCCTTTTGGCTTAAACTTGAAGTATTTGGGGCAGGATGTTAACGACTCACTTCTAATGCTGTATAAGTTGAAATCTGAGCACAGAAAAAGCATCCAGTGTAATAGATGCTGTGTTCTCATTCCTTGATACTGACTGGGCTAACACGATCTATGGGATGAAACCCGCTCTTTTGCCACACACAGACCCTGCAGTATATTTCTGTAATGCTCTAAGGATTAGTGCCAGTGCACACATCTCGATGCCATCCATTAAAAATAAAAGCTTTGCACTCTGGATTACAAAGTGAAGCGCACATCTTTCTACCCAAAACTGCTATGCAGGGAGCCCTTGACTCCCAAATGGGCAGACATCCTGAGTCAATGTCGTCACAGTCTCTTTAGACTGTGTTGTTAATATCTGAGCCTCTTCTGTGGTAAAAGATCAAAAGACAAGTGGAAAATTAGGCTGTAAAAATAGACTCCTCTAAAAGGGGAATGGCTGGTAGATGAGTAAGCATCATGCATACACAACAAAGGAAACATTCTTCAGCTTGATCTGTAGAGTTAGATTTGGCTGGGTGGAAAGTAAGTGGGCCACTTTGGTTTTAGACTGGCTTGAGTGAGCCATTTCTTCCAGCCACCAGACTCCTAGGGTTCAGCATAATGGCTCCTTTTCCGCCTTGTAAAAGGTGACAAAAAATCAGGAGGCTAGTAGCATCTTTTCTGACTAACACACGCTGTTAAAAGGCATAGGCTTGTGTGTACTATGTCTACTGTAAATATAAGTTTCATGGACTATGTGCCGTGATTCACCAATGCTTATATTGTACAAAATATGCTATTCTTTTAAGGAACCGGGAAAGCCTGTGTTGTTTTTAACTGAAATAATTGCCACAATTTTTGCTTGAAACAATATGTTAAGGATCAAACCTTCACAAACAAAAATGTATTTCCATTCCATGAAACTTACAACATGGTTTTAAGCCCCTGCAGGTTTGCAAGTGAAAGCAACAGGTGAAAGTGCTCATGCATTGAATTCATGTAATATAAGGAAAAAGAAAATGTGTCTTAAAATATATATCCATAGCCTTTGGGAAAAGTCCCTCAATAAACTGCACCGTTATCATGCCTACTGTAGTTGAATATGTACAATGTAAGAACATAGTTGCCTAAAAATAATATGTATTATTTATGCAGCCTACAAACAACATGGGGGTGAAATGATTTACTGCTAGTACTGTTGTATCTCATGTGCAAGTTTCTATGAATTTCCTGTTGGAATAAAAGTCTTGAAATTGATATTTTGAAGTGGCTGCCATTCTTCCTCATGAAACCATTTATGATGAGCTGTATATTTCAATACCCCAAGTGTCCCACAGTAATCTACAACTTTAAAAGCAATAATAATATCAACAAAAACAGAACAGAGCCATCAAACGATTTGGAAGATGAATATAACTGCAGCTTTGAGAAGAAATTGGAGTAGAGGAACTATCTTCAGTCCACTCTTTGTCCTAGGATAGTCAGGAAACCTACCACACCATGTGTAATTAGCCCATGTGGCAAGCCATCACAAGGTCAAATGGCAGCATCTCCATGGGTGGCAGAGGGTTCCTCTGTGTCCTCTGTCGTTGGCTGCAGTTTTGCCTCAACAGAAGGGGGCTTTAAAGATTTCTGCTTCCAAGAGCGAAAGCCAATAACAAACTTCCCTTGTTTTGGTCAGTTTGGGCTCTTGGTTCTTTCCTAGTTCTGGGTTGACCTTCCCAGGTCTTCTTCTTATATCCTGATGGTTGGGATCTTAGTTTCCCGTGGAGGGTTACTCCCCAACCTAGGCTGCAGGAATACGATTTTGCTGCTGTGTCTCAATAGATCTCTTACAGCTGGACTCTACTCTTAATAATTGACAGAAATTGTCCATCTTTTATTTACTCAATACACAGAAACATTTTTAATACAAGAAAATTGCCTATTTCAAGTTTGTTTAACATTGAGAACTTCATTTATATTTATAAATAAAACATTACTTCTGCCCTTTAGATATGTCTACTGAGTTGTTATCAGTCCATTTATAGTTATATTCTTTTCCTGCTTGAGTATCAAGGCATAAGCCATGAACTGGAGGCAAACATTCCAACAGTTGAGATATTCAGACCACCTGCAAATCTGAGGGGCTCAGGTAAAAATGCCCCCCCCCAAAAAAACAGGTTTCTTCAAAATGGTTTATTCTAAAAGCTCTCCCTTTGCCCTCCCCCACCAAAAAAGAAAAAAGAAAAGACAAAGCAGAAGAGGAGGTGTCATTTTGCAATAGATGTTTCCAAGCTGTTCCATTACTTATCTTTGCATTTTCCTGAACGTGTTAGCAGCAGTAACAGGGTCCCACAATTTCCAAAGAAAGATTGAAAACTTAGTTAACTGGGACAGGGTTTTTTTTGCTGCAGTAAAATGGCAGGTAGAGGCCAAGCTTCCCCATCCCATGTGTATGTATATATATGTGTATTTGTGTGTGTGTGTGTGTGTGTGTGTGTGTGTGTGAGCGAGAGAAACTCAGCCAATCACCAGCATCAGATAGGAGGACTCCCACTAAGAGATAATCAAGCTCTGCAGTCCTTTCTGTGTTTTCATCTGACTGCGTGGAAGAGCTCAATAGGCAGAAGAAGATGGGTTGGATCATGTCTCTTCCTTCACATCATTATCTGTAAAGAGGTGCTAGGTTACTGACAATTGTCCCATCCTATCCCAGGGGCTCTCTCTGTATCATAGGAACTCAGTGGGCTCCAGATTGAACCACAGGCATTCTCAGGTAATAACAGTGCTGGGTTTGTGTATATGTGTGTGTGTGTGTGTGTATGTATGTGTGTGTGTGTGTATGTGTGTGTGTATATATATACATACACATACACACACACACACACAGAGGATTGCATAGTGGTTAGAGCACTGCCTTTGACGCGGGAGACCAGGGTTCAAATCCTGGCTGGTACCTACCTTGACAGTAGGGGTCCTTGGGCAAAGACCTCCTAACGCTTCACCTGCCTACCTCAATTATGAGAGTGACACAAAGTAAGAGTCATGCCAGCTTGGATGTCACCTGAATTAACAAGGTCCATGTCAGATGTTGGGGAACCAGGACAATCTGACAATGTGGGCTACTAGAACCAACCATACATGGGTGGGACAAGAAAACTTGGAATTGATGGAATGCTACTACAGCAGTAGACCTAATGAAAGGGGATATATGAAACGTATAAGGGAACTAAGGATGGACAGAAGACCTACATCCACACTAACTGAGAAACAACTAGTTACCCAGTGCTT